CACGTATTGTACACTTCTACATGATTAGACACCTTTCGTTACGAGCCAAGCTGGGATAGAGTCGAGATTGAGGATGAGATGATGGCTGACTGGAGTCTTCCACGGGCTCAACGCTCCGGCCATTTGTAGATATGGGCCAAGAAGCCTCTAGGAGATCGATACAAGTACCGCTGAAGTACTGGGCGCTCCACACAGCCCAGCTCGGGTCTAGGGGCTGCGACAGGAGCTGGCAGAGTTGAACTTAGCAAGCGCCAGGAGCGAGAGTAGCCCGGCCCAGGTGGGCAGTAGCCACTGCTGCTGGGCGCTGCAGAAGCCCTGTGCGGGGGGTGATGAACGTTGAAGTGCCACCAAATGGTGTGCGAGCGCGAGAGTGAGCATCCAATCTTCTCCAAACATCCATATTCTTCTTCGTCGTCTCCGGGTTGCGTTGGGTCATCGTTTGTCACCCTCCACCCTCCGTTCGTTTCTCTTCTACTCTCGTTCCCCCCTCACTTCTCGCTCCTTTCGCCTTCACCGACGCCACTATTCGAGATTCTTTTCAAGAGAGCCCAGCGCCCTAACCCGACTCTGCTTTTGGGGGCCCAACAACCCAAGTGCCCGCCGCTTCCGTCGACTCGCTGATTGCATTGCATGAATTAGTGCCACTGCCCACCTTGTTTGGAGCCTGATTCAGCGACCTTGGAAGGACCTGGTCCCCGGCTCGACGCGAAACACCCTAATAACCTCGGGGGTCGATCTACTAGGAAGTCATCGTCCAGGCTGCGTTCGTCTTCATCGTTCTTCTGCGGCCTTCTCTAACTTTACGCCACCACTTGAGCTTATTCTCCCACGTTGCCACACATCCTTCTCGACCTCCTCCCTTCTATTCACCATTTTCATATCCTGCCGCCACATCATATTCGAACTAGACAACCACCCATAGCGCAGCCACGCAGCGAGGCGCCACCATGCGTCGTTCCTCCCTTGACGTAGCCGAACCGGCGCGACCCTTTGACGACACCAACGCTCGACCATCTGATGACGATGTCATGGAGACCGATTTCGACCTCAGCATGCCCCCCACAGAAGACCAAGTTCTCGAAGAGGAGAGCCGCATCTTCACCCCGCCACCGCGCATCGCCGCCCGCTTCTACAGACCCTCACACGCCCGCCGTCGGGATTCAGCAGCGTCATCGCGCCGGAACTCGATATCGTCAGCACATTCACGATGCTCCTCTATCCAGAACCCACCCGACCGCAACGGCGAGCAAAGCAAGCACATTGCGCAGCACCTCCGCAGAGCCAGCTTTCTCGAGGACCGCCGCGCCCGGTTGGCCGACCGCGCTGCACATGCTGAAAAGGTCCGCCTGAGGGCTGCCATGGCCAAGGCCGCCTACCGGGACACGTCCGTCTCCGAGGAGCGCGCCCTGGCCGCGCAGCAAGCGAGGGAACGGAACCTTGCCGAGATTGTGGCCAACTGTGCAGAGGAAGTGAGGAAGGCGAAGCAGGTAGCCGAGTTTATCAAGGAGAAGCGTGAGCAGGAGCTCGCCAAGATGAAGTTGCAGATGGAGGAGCGCCTGGCCGAGGCCGAGAGGCGCCGGGAGGAGCTTCTCAAGGGTTCCAAGGGGCGTGGACGGGCTTCGAGTGTGGTGGCTAAGAGAGCAACCGATCCTGCAGCACGCTCCAAAGAGCGCCAGAGACCACCCATGACTCCTGAAATGGCCGCTGCCAAGATTTCGGGCTGGTGGTTGGGGTGCTCGAGGAAAAAGGCTATGCAAGAATTTACAAGCTTGGGCTTGTCCGTCGATGGGATTAGAGAGACGGAATTTGACAGCGTCGTGGAACTATTGGCACAGGAGAAGGTGCTCATGATATCCGCACGGCTTCTCCGCATCTGTGGACTCCGCGAGGACGAGCCGGGATCTGTCGGCGAGATGGCTGCTGTGCGCACATTCCTCAGTGCCTTTTTGATTCTTGGACATCCTGCCCAAGTTCTCAGCAACAAGGATGAAAAGGATGGAGACGAGATGGCGGCACATCGCCTACCTGCGGCCGATCTGGACAACCCTCAGCTGCAGGACCTGATGAGCAAGGCAAAGGATCTACTTATTTGCTTTGAGAAAATCACGGCTCGTTTGACTTCTGCAAACCGATACACGATGCCTCCAGCTTTAAAGACGACGCTTTCCGAGGCATATGCCGTGTTTTACAATGCATTCATTGCCTGGAGATCACGAGATTCAAACGCATTGATCGAAGTAATGTTGATGCAGTTTGTGGAACTCGACGCCATTTTCCAGACTGTCAAGGATTCCACCGATGACGGCGCCTCTCAGCTGTACCGCCAAAGCATTCAAGACAGTCAGCTAATGCTTATCGTGAGGATCAAGAAGCTGGCAGGACCTGAGAAGGGAAAGAAGCTCATATTCGATGCTGTGAGCGAAGCTAGAAAGGCCAGAAGAGCCAAGAAGAAGACTGGTGATACCAAGCCCCGAGTTGCTGAAACGACACCATCCGAGGCCTCTGCAACAGCCACCAGTCTTGTTTCGTCTCCTGTGCAAGTGCCCACGCCGCCTTCGACTCCTGCCGGCAAGGCTGGACAGAGACGACCCACGATTAAGACCGGACTGAACGGATTACTTCCCGACAACCGAGTTGTGGTCCACGAGCTGGCCATTAACAAGGAATACCAGATTCCTTCAGAGGAATACCAAGAGCAGCAGGCAGTCTTCTCACGGCCGTTGTATGCCAGCATGAGAGCCAACATGGAGAGCTCCCACCCAGAGGCCAACTTCAAGGCCTTCATGGCCCTTACCAAGGATATCAAAGACAAGCTTCAAAGGCTTCTCAAGCCCGGGAATTCCATGTATAATCTCATTGGCGAGATACTGGACCCCGAAATGGCCGAGCGCCAGTTTACCCTTGGGAATTTTTCGTACGAGAAGTTCTTCGCTGCCATGTCCTCACTGCTGCCAAAGCTGTGCGCTCCCTTCCGGGATGACGAAGTCAAGGATCTGATTCAGAACAAACTCAACGACGGCAATCTGATTGATCGTGTAGAGGCACTAAAGGGATTTATTGATGTTATGCTTTGCGACTACATCAACTACCTGCTCCGAGTGGCTGCACCTGGATTGATTGACTCGGCTCCGCAGTACGAGGCAAAGAGATTTGTGGAGGAGGTGGAGTCGGGGCAGATCAACTTGAGATCTGCGGAGGCAGCATGGCGCTCCGCTCGCTCGCATGCCTTGGCAGAGGCTCAAAGGAGAGACCCTGAGGGCATTAATCACCCCAAGAATGCACCCACTGCGACGCGCTTCTATGCGCAGATGCTTGTGGACATTTTCACGCAGCCGATGCCCATCAACTACAGCGAGGTGCCTGAGATGCTTCGACTGGACTGCAAGCGAATTGATGAGGTTTCACGGATGATTCAACGCATCATCACCGTGGGTGCTGTCTTGCTCCAGTGCAAGAATCTGCTCAAGAGAGATGTTCGCTCGCCCTGGAAGGTCGAGGCCGCCAGAATCATGTCCGTCCTCGAGGCGGAGCACCCTTCGATGGACACAACCCTCGAGGGGACTATGGCTGCACTCGAAGCTGGGCGATCCATGCCAGCGGCGACCAAGACTCACCTTCGCGCCCTTGTGTCCAAGGTCTTACACGCCAGCCAGGACATGTCTCGAAACGGGAGCGAACCTCGCGAACCGGTTCTGCGACTGCTGCTCACACGCCTTCGCGGCAATATTCTGGCCCGTCTCGCACCCGGCTCGGCCAGCGAGAGGGTCAAGGCTGCGAACAACGCGGGTGAGAAGCTTGCTAGTCTTGGATTGTCCGAGTTTGTTGACAAGGTACGATACATCTCGACCTTACTGGACAAGATTGGCGCCGTCGACAAGGCTGCGCATGGCCCATGGTGGGACGCCATCGCTACCAAGGTCGAGAACGAGTCTTGAGATCTCAACTCCGAGCATTGTTCCGCGATGCCATGATGGGATATGAATGATGCAACTATATACGTCACACGACGGGGGGCTAAGCCCGTTTTCTTTATTTCTGATCTAAACAGAAGCGATTTTGAGATTTTGATGATACTCTTCAAGGGCAATGAGCTTCCCCTTTTTACAACCTTTCCCCTGCGTGCCCCTTTTTCCTTTTTCTTTCCAGCTTCTATCTTATTTTGTGATGGATTCCGGTATTTTTATCATGGGTTTGAAGCGGGATTTCTTTTGGGAACGCACAGCATAAGGAGGATCCTTTTTCTGAACTACGGCGTTTTGATTTTTTCCTATCCCTTGTTCTTCCACTACGGCTTCAGCCATCTGATGATGGCTAGTGGTAAGGGAGACGGGGCCATTGGGTCGCAACGCGATATGTGCCGCATGCACGGCCATCTCATGGCCTGGATGATGATGGGGTGCTTGAAGATTTAGTCTGGTTTCATGGGTTTCTTGCGGGATACTTAGCGAGTTGTTTTTGTGTTTTTACGTCAGACGAATAGAAATGGTCACGTCTTTGAGTTATCAGTATTAAAGTGCTATTACATTCGACCCCGGTGAAGTTTCTCTGCTATCCCATTGTGTTGCTCCTATGCCTACAACAGCGGGTGAAGGCACGGTTAGATGAGGCCAGACAGCGAAATTTGGACAACTACGTCTCGGTCGACCGGAAAATCAAACCTCTATTTTCTGTGGCTAAAACCGCTCAACAGAGCATACTTTACGCCAGCCCCATTCCCAATGGCATGCTGCTAAATTCGTTGGCACCCAACGTTTCAACCAACCCAGAATATGTGCGTCAACTCATCAAAAAAAAAAACATTGGCTGATCTATTTGACATGACAACCCTTTTTTTCAAGAACCAGAAATGAGAAAAATAAACAGGACGAGTTATTTCCATCTCTGTTGATACGTCACCCCCTTGAATGCTCCCTGCCAGGGAGGATCCATATGCGAAAGCTTTAAGAGAGCAATGACTGAAATAGAAGGAAAACTAAAAGAAAGGCCGTGATAGGTGCAGTCTACTCGCTCGTGTCCATGGCAGTAGCTTCAAACTTCTCCCGGGCCGCCTTGACCTTCTCCTCCTTCCACTTCTCAATCTGCTCTCTGAGCTCATCCTGTGGGATGACATCGTCCACCGTCATGGGCTGTCTGGTGAATGGGTCCTTGGGGTCACTGAGAAGGTGCTGAGCAATCGTTGAACGGTCAACAATGTGCTTGCTGGGCAGCAGGACTGGGTCGGTCATGAGGTCGCCCATGATGGGGTCCTCGAACTCGGCTGGGATGTCACCAAGATCAAGCTCGGCCTGGTCCAGCACTTGCTTGGACTCGAAGAACTTGGCCTTGAGGATATTCCATCGTCCAATATCGGCCGGGTCCATGTGGTTCCGGGACTGCAGGATTCTGCTTACCCGATCCAGGACCTCGGGCTTGTAGGATCGGCCGTCTGCGGCAACAGCATCAATGAAAACTTTTGACGACGCGAGATTTAGGTAGATCCAGACAAAGTCGGAAATTAGCTGAATAGGTCGGAAGTGGTACTTCTCTCGGTTAGAGACATTAAGCTCTGCACCGGCCTTCTTTCCAGCAAGGGTGTCGAGGTTGTAGTTCAACATGCTGGCTAGACGAGTGACAATCTCGGGCATTGTGAAAGAGTCTCCGAGTGCTTCGGTAAACAACTTCATCATCTCCAGAGTCTCGTTAGCGAGTTGCATGTACGACGTGGCCTGGCTCCCCAGAGTCTGTAGTTCCTCGTCCTTCTTTTGTCTGTCCTCTGCAGAGAGCGTGGGATCCTCTAATTCTTTCTCGATAATTCTAATTTTGGGGAACTTCGTGAATGCTTCATCCAGGACATAGGTTGCATCATTGAGCAACAAGTTGACGAAGCGCACAAAAAATGTCTTGTTAACGCTGTAACGGTAGTTAGCATGAGCAGCGTGGAAGGGATTGCCACTCAAATACATACTGGCTTTCACGGGTCAGTTGCTGCCTGTACACATCATTGACCCAGACACATTTGATGACCTGGAAAATTTCATAACGAATATTGAACTTGTCGTAGAACTGTGTGTTGACACCTGTCGACTCGGCTTCAATGTAGAACTTCATGAGAGCATGCAAAAGATAGTCGTTGGCAAACTTCATGCCGATCAGCTGGTCACCCAAAACACCCTTCTTTAAGTGCATGAAAGGCCACGTTCCACTAAACAGAAGTGTGACGAGAGAAGACTTAAGGTAGGGGTTTTTGATGTATTCTGATGAACGCAAGAGTGTAACGCAGAGTGCGATCAGCTCTTCGCCAACGGCGCTGAGCAGAATGTTTGGTAGCCACCTAGAGCGACAAGGTTAATTCTAGTTTGACAATAATCAGTGCACAGTGAACACCAACCTGAACACGAATTTGAAGTTGTCTACGATGTTCTGAAGAGCATACTCGGGCAAGCACGCGAATGCACCGTTGTGTTGCTCGGCTGATAATGGGAGGCTATAACATCCGCCATGTCAGTAACAATACCTCATTAGCATAGCAATATCGCATCGAAGAAATTACCTGATTTGTTGGCTCTCTTGTCCAGGCTTATAATCAGATCCCGTTGCAAGACGCAACAGCCAAACCGCAACGTATCGCATGAAACGAAGAGAGGTACTCTGCATACGTTCGTCGAGGAGGACACCCTCGATGGCATGCTTCAAAGCGATTGTCTTTTCTAGAACAGTAGTGCGGCGCTTGAGGGTCTCTTCAAAAAGTCGGAGCTGAGCAGGGACATTGGCCACCTTAGGGCGCTCTGCCTCCATGGCCTTGATGTGCTTTTCCAGATACTTAATCTCCCGGTCCAGGTTCTTCAGCTGTGAATTTGCTGCCTCACTACCGTAGTGATGTGCGGCAAGAGTGAGGAAGAAGGCCTCCGAAATGAAGTTGGATTCACCAGCCTCAGTTTGCGAGTAGTACTCATCCGCCGCCGCTTGGTCGGCGTTGATCTTGGTCTCATCCTTGATATCGACTCGCGGCTTTCGCTTGAAATACCGGACATCAATCTTGTCAATCTTGCTAAAGTCGTTATCCATGAAAGGCTCACAGAACCTGTCCAGTATCGTGGTGATGTTCAGCATGAAACCATCCGAGGCCACTTCGCGCGGGTCAACTTGAAGCGCTCTCCGTTTGTGGTTGCTATTCATAACATAAGCAAACCAGTCCAAGGTACGGCTCCGCGTTTCGAGACCAGCTCGAATGAATGCATTAGCAATTACGAATAAGTCGTCTTGGTGTGTCCGTAAAACCATACGCAGAGAATCCTGCGCGTTTGCGATTCTTGACTTGTCCAGCGTCCGTGCCCCGGGGAAGTAACTACGGATAGCCTCTGGCTGGAGAGGCGACAGACGGAAGAAGGGACCAAGCAATGTGTGTTTCTCAATACCCGGGGCCGATTGCGCCATGTTGAATGTGGGATGTTTTGCCAAGTTTGTGATCAATACCGGGAACCGTGCATAAACCAACAATGCCTAGAAAAAATGTCAATACGCAAGTCTTTCCCATCCTTGCCCTCATGTTACCCACCTGAACGTAAGGTCGATAGTCATCTTCCATCGACATGGTTCCTAGACGGGTGCTGATTTTGACCATGGAATCAGTGAAGAGGGATGGGACCGCCTCGTCATCATCAAACCGTTTAATAGCCTCCTTGTAGAATTCGAGATCGAGACCATTCTCATCCAAAACACCTCTCAAGATATATGGCAGCAATGAATCGTGGTTAGGATTGGGTCCCCGTCTAAATGAATGTTAGACTTGGACAATGGATTTCAAAACGCTCAAGACCAAATCAAGAATCGAGGAAAAGGTTGATTTTACCCGTAGAGGTCCGGCAGCGTCAATGAAAAGAGGCAGTGACTGAGGGCCAGCCGCTTTGATTCCTCGTGAACCTCGTGCTTGGGGCCGGTCGGGAACCTAGAAGAGGAAGCAGCTTTGACAGCACGCTTCCAGCACGGCAGCAGGAAATCCATCAGAGGTTTGTCTTGGGGCAATGAGCTCGCAGCTTCGAGGACGGCCTGGTCCAGGTTGGCTGTTGTGATCTTCAAGGGCTCGCGTGCCTCGTTCAACTCCTCGTTCAGGCCGGGCAGGAATATCAACCGTTGGCCGCCCGAGCTGGCCATCTGATGCGGATTGACGGTGATGCGGAAGATCTGGGAGAGCACGCGGTTCGCATAGTCCTCGTCTGACTCGGCCGGAGGGGGGGTCGGTCTGTGTGGCGGAGCTGGAGAGCCAACGTCAACATTATCGGATGCTGGCCGCTTGCGGGAGGGACGAGGTGTACCTGTTGAGCTTGTCTGGTCCGATGCTTTACGGCTGCCATCATCAGTGCCTAATCTTGAGAAGGGGTTCGAGCTCGGAGCTCCTGCGACGGCGGGCTTGGGGGCTGAGGAGGACGAAGATGCAGATGGAGCTGGCGATGACGGCTTCCGGGGCTGTCCGCCGGTCGAACTGCTGGCATCATCTGATTTAGGAGCAGCTGGCGCCGAGGAGCCAAGCTTGGCGAGACGTCTGGCTCGGATCTGGTGTTGGGAATCAGCATCGTGAAGTGGTTACAGGCAGCACTTCTCGGTGGGGTGCATGAGGTACCTGCTCCATCTTCTCTTTATCTGGACCATCTCCGCCGACCCATGAAGGGGGATTCTCGTTGGGATCCATGGCTAAAGTGTCCTCGGGATGGTTGACAAAAAGGACCGGTCGTGAGGGAAGATGTTGAAGAACGAGAGAGAGGGGTTGGTGGGGGAGGAAATCGCAAGGCTTAATTCATGGACTTCCAGGTAGGTCTGGGAAATGGCTGAAGTCACCGCCAGCGTCTAGGCACACGGCGCGCACGGACGGGCAGAAGGTGTTGGCGACTGCAGGCGCGGCTGTGGGGGAATGACGTGCGAACTATCGATAAGTGCTTCAGGCAGGCGTCTGGGGGCTGCTCTAGGTTAGTTAGGGGTCGTAGGGGTCCTGCTACGGGCGGGAAGGCAGTGGGAGCCTGGAAAGGGCTGTATGTCTGGCGCGAGCTGTGCGGAAATGACACACAATGCCGATGATAGGGTGAGAGGAGAGGGAGAGCGTGAATCTAGCCTGCTGTGCGTTTATTGAATCCCACCTGCCCAACCCAAGTCCGCATGTTGAGTTCGCTCCGCCAACTCCGCTAGAAGCTTCCAACCAGGCTTACCAACGCCTCTGCGCGAAATTGGGCATGGATTCAGCGTAAGCTTCCGCTATCTTACAGCATATCATGGACAGGGCACCACCATGTCAATTCTCTTTATCAAGTTGCTAAACCAAAAATTTTGCCAAAGAACCGTCTGTCTAGGAAATAGAACAGCCCGCTATGTGTATATAGCTAATACCACCGAAAAAAACAAGCCTTGAACTCCGGAATTTGCCCTATTGGTATCCCCAGATGCACAAATGAAATCAAACAGACAAAAGAAAGGACCTGCTAAGCAACATAACCCTAAAGACGTGGAATATCCATATCGGGGTTGGACGAACGCCGTCGCTCAGTGAGAACAGGGTTTCTGTCGGCCGAATTGGTCATGTTGTTGGCAGCCCTCATCCTGCCTTCCTCGCGGCTTCTCAGCCAGTTGAGATGCATGCGAATCATGTTGACATTGTTCCGAAGCTCAGCCACTTCCTCTCTTATGGGCATGACCTGGTTCAGCGTCCACATGCTCTGCCGCGCTTCCAGGTGAGTTAGGTTCTGATGTACCTCCTCGAAGCCCGCATCCAGGTCTTGGATCGTCCTGTTCTCGCTCACGCCGCTGGTGCTGATCGGGCCGGACTTTTCTACCGCCTTGGTCAGCAGTTCAAGGCGCTGTGCCGTCTCCTCCTGGACCTTTTGCATATCCTGCATGCGGGTCGATAAATCGCTGTAGGTTTGAATAAGCTCGCGCTGAGATCTGATGATAATGCCCGACGCCGTGTCGGGATGAAAGGCACATGTGAGAGTGTGCTCTGCCAGATGGCCACGCTCCATCCGAACGGGGCAACCCAGGTCGTTATATGTACATGCGACCTCGGCACCGTCACACTCGAGTTCGTGATGTTCAGTCATGGAAGCTTTGGACACAAGCTGCCAGCAGGCTTCGCACCGAGTCTTTGTTTTGGGGCATGACACTAAGTGCCACTCCTTCTCTGCCTCCTCCACGGCCTCATGGCAGTACTTGCACGGGCTCTCGTCATGCAGACATTTGCCGTCGGCGCTTTTGTCCCTCACACGCTTATCACACTCAGCGTCTGGGCATGGGTAGTCCTTGAATCGGCAATCGATTCTAGCGTGGCTTTCTATCGCCTCACGCCGGATCTGCTTATTGCACCCCCGGTTACGATTGGGGCACTTGACAAGCAGGCTGTTGAGCTGTGTGCGCACCAGCCTCTCGGCGCTGAAACAGTCGGACCAGAGAAGCGGTTCTCTATCAATGGGGCAGGCAGTCCCAGATGGGCTCGACTCAATGCTTCTCCGGAGACACCTGTAACAAAAGGTATGATCGCAGGGTGTAGTGACCGGATCTACCAGTGGGTCGTGGCATATCGGACAAAGCAGGCTGGGATCCGGTTCCACGACGTATGTGAGGGCGTACATGTCAAATATGCAATTCCCACCGTACTTGTTGGGGATATCGAGTGATGACGGATGAGGAGACTGTAATGGACCCGACCTTCGCCTGGGAGAGTGAACCAAGGCACGACCGCCAGTAATTGGCCGCAGCCTCACCATGGAGGGGCCACCATAGTCTAATCTCGCATTGTTTTGGCGGAATTGGTCGGGGAGGTAGAATGCCTCGGGCGAAGGGGGGCGGACGAGGCTGGTGACGAGATCTGGCGTCGGTGAGGTCCTCCGCATATTCCTACGGGCGAACCGCCTCGCAGCAGCTGGGCTCATGCGGTAGCCATCCTCAGTCGACGATTCGGATGTGCGAGAGGCTCGGCGCGGTGATACTTGCTGCTCGCCGTCGGTTGGTTCAGGCGGCTCTCGTGCGCTGGGCTCTCGCCCGGGGGTTGCCGGGTCAGACACGTCCATGATGCGGTGGGCGGGGCAGTGGTCGCAAAACGGGTGAAGCTTTCGAGTTTCAGTCAAGGTAACGGAGGGGTCCGGCAAGCGTGCAAGGAAGAAGACCCCATCGGGGACGGTGTGGGGCCGTAATCACTCCCAGCTCCCTTGACAGGAGCAAGCGTCGCAGTCGGTCGGTCAGGGCAGAGCAGGGCGATGGGAAGAGGCGAAGCTGTGAGGATGCAACTGGCCGTCGGTGGCGCAGGTTTGCAGGAGGTGGATGGATGGAGGTGGAGGCGTTCGGCATCGGTCATGGGACTTTGGAGGGATCAATAACCGGGGCCGCGGAAGGGGAACAGGAAGACGCCCAGGGCCAGCGCTCAGGCGGGGCGGATGGCGGATAGTGCCCTAAATTCTAAGCCCAGAGCATCACGGTCACCCACCGCCTATTGTCCCGTAGCGAGCACCATCACATCAACCTGCAGTCAGAACAGAACAGTCCGAAGGCAATAATGCAACATCAACGGTGCATGGGGCATTCTTCGAAACTCGGAGGCCGTATTACTGCTGCTCACTCTGCACTCTCTCGGTTATTGTCACCATGCAATGACACTGACAGTTCCAGGCGCTGCAAGGCTGAGAGCATCCCACAGGCTCTCCAGCACTCTTCAGGTCTGATGGAGCCGTCGCGATGGCTGAGTCAGGCAACAGCGTCCATCCGACATGGATGCCTTCTTCTCTCTCCCACGGAGCAGTCTCCTTCGACTCCGAAGAGCTAGTCGCATGACGTCAGGCCATCTCTTTGAGTCATCGTAAACTAGACCTGGACTATCGCACACTATAGCGACGGAAATACGAAGCACCGCCCTCTCAGCCCTATCCGCTCCAACGTGGTTTGCGAACCACCACATCCACAGCATCGAGGCGATACACTGCCTGGTGCTCCATCCCCTTCTGCAGCTCTCTCAACACCTGAACACATGCTACTGAGGCCGCTTTACCGCGCATTGAGGCAATCCTCATATGCCGACGCCATCGTGCTGCATCGACGTGGCCAGCTGCCCGCCTATGCTCCCATCGCCCGGGTGCTATTCGTTCGTTCGCCATCGTGAAGGGTGTCTGCTATTCCACCGAGTCTCGACGAGACTCTGACAACCGATAGTCCCGCATGGATATAGCCCTACTCAGCATCCATGTGCTCACCTGCATGTCCTGGCCCACCGATCTGATCGCCCTGCCCCCATAGCCTTGGCTGGAAACCTCCTGCGCGCTCCTGGTGGCTTCACCATTGCATCCCATCTCCACAATCCCGCCCCCAGCCGCATCCCCCATTGGCCTCCTCCATGTACCGAAGCACTAAAGCGGCTCCGAAAGGCGGTACAGCTGTGATGCCTTGCGCAGGATGCCAAGCTGGAGCTGTCCACGTCTGGATTCGCCTCGCCGCGACACTTCGTATAGAGCCTCCTCATGCTGTGTAATATATCATGCTCCCGATCTCGCTGTAGGTGTGCGTGTCTAGGCATCAACCCTTCTCCTCTCTTCTTCCCTTCTAGTGATTGGTAATGGGGGCGACAAGAGTCTGACTTATATCCTCTCTAATCTCTTTCCACCCTCTCCTGGATCCGTGTATACCTAGTGTTTGATCATGTATGTCTCCCAAGGGGACCAGCAGCCCTCAAGAAAGGCTTCAAAGATCCATCCCCAGACCGTCGTATCCCGCTTCTGGTCACGGTACCACAGCAAAGCCCCCGGCAAGGTCACCTCCATCTTCCCCCAGAAGCTCTACCGCGATCTCGCCGTCGGGGCCGACTCCCCCCGCGAGCAGGGCCGGAATGCCGCCCAGAGCTACGAGGAGGCCCGCTCGCGGTGCCTCGACATGGTCCGCGTGGCCGTCGCCCAGTGCGAGAGCACAAACACCAAGTTCTGCGACTCCGAGTTCGACATCGACACCGACCTCTTCTGCCGCAAGTTCGACTGCCTGCTCGGCCTCGAGACCACCTGCCACCACCAGCACGACTCCGACGACTCGTCCGACGATTCGTCGTCGGACGACGACCGACGGCCCCGCCGCTCCAGGTCGGTGAGGCGCTCGCTCAAGACCATCCTGAGCAGCGGGATCCTCGCCGACGCCGTCGCGCCGGTCAACCTCAAGCATCTGGAGACCTACATGAAGGCGGACAACTCGCCCCCTGCCCCCACAACCTACAGACCGCGGGCGGTTCATCGAGTGGACTGGATATTCGAGAACCCCCAGTTCACCGTCGACGGCTTCTCCAGCTCCGATATCAAGCAAGGGGCTGTTGGTGACTGTTGGTGGCTCGCCGGGGTGGCCAACATTGCCCACCGCCGGGATCTCATGGACAAGATCTGCGTTGCGCGCGATGAGGAATGCGGTGTCTACGGCTTCGTCTTCTACAGAGATGGCGAGTGGATCTCTACCGTTATTGATGATAATCTATATTTAATACATGAGGACTTTGGTCACAGCTTCAATGTCCACGATCCGAGCGGGAAGAGATCGCGTACGCATAAAAAGGAGAGGCAGACTGGTTCAGAGTCATTGTTCTTTTCGAAGTGTAACAATGAGAATGAGACGTGGCTTCCATTGCTAGAGAAAGCGGTACGTGTAACCCCTCTTTTTCACATCTGTTGCTCTTCTACTATTCTTGGAGTTCAGTCACTAACAATCGGTTGTAGTACGCAAAGGTCCACGGAGACTACGAGTCGTTAAACGGAGGCTGGCCTGGCTACGCCGTGGAAGACCTCACAGGCGGTGTAATGACGGTTATACCAGGCAACCGGGTCCTGCGCAAGGAGAAGCTCTGGCGTGAGATGACGGGAGTCGACAGGAGTGACTCCGAATTCGTCTTCGGGTTGACGGCCAACAGCGAGTCCTACACCACCACGAATCGAAATGGACTTGTTCTAGGCCACGCATACTCTATTCACAAAGCTGTCGAGATTGAAGATGAGAACGGAAAGAAGGTCAGGCTCATCAAAGTCAGGTTCGTGATCTCATCGTATCAATAACTAATGACGGAAGACCAAGAACTAACCCAATGATATAGAAACCCATGGGGCGAGAGGTCGAACAACGGTCTGGGAGAGTGGCATGGTCCCTGGTCAGATGGATCCAAGGAATGGACTCCAGAGATGATCAGGAAGCTGAACTACTCATTCGCTGACAACGGCAACTTCTGGATGACGTTTGAAGATGTATTGAGCAACTTCAGATGGATCTTCCGAACGCGTCTCTTCGACGAAAGGTGGACGGTCGCCCAGCAATGGATGAGCTCACCAGTCAGCTGGGTAGCTGGCTTCCTGAGGAAAAAGTTCATTGTTGAGATCAAGAGAGAAGGGCTTGTTGTTATTGTTCTATCCACGGTAAGGCCCTTCACATTTCGCACCAAGCTTGATAGGCTGTTTAGCTAACGACTCCCTAGCTCGATGACCGCTATTTCCGCGGCCTCGCTGGGCCCTATGCCTACTTCCTTGAGTTCGTTGTTCGCCAGCTTGGGTCGCCCCTTGTATTGGCCGAAGCCAAATGCCATCGCGGAATCTCTGAACGGCGTTCGGTCAACTGCGAGGTTCATCTCAAGCCAGGAGTATACGAGATCCTCCCTAGAGTTACAGCAGAGAGACACCCCTATAAGAGAACCGTCGAGGAAGTAGTCAAGGATTTCGCAGATGTCAACCCCCATAAGCTGCGACAGGTCGGGATGCAGTATGACCTAGCACACTCCAAGACTGGTGTCCTGGACGAGGATGAAGCGCAAGAACGGAAGAAGTCACAGAGGAGACGAAAGAAGAAGGAGCAAAAGGCCAAGCAGGAGAAGCTCAAGGATATGAAGGAGGCCATGGAGAAAATGCAGCAGGCAATGGCCGGGATGCAGGACGAGTTAAGTAAGAAGAAGGGAGAGTGGGAGAGAGGCGCCGAGAAGGAGAAGAACGACAGCCCTCATGAGGAAGCTCAAGGCCAGAATACCAAAAACGATGACTATGTCAGCTCTAGGCCACCCCCTGGATGTTGGCCTGGCGATATGTCGTCCTCGGAGTCGGGGTACTCCAAACCCTCTACAGATACTTCGGTGACCACAGTGCAGCGCAGCGGGGATGAGAGGAGGGACGACACTGGGACCAGACGTGCGCCGTCAAGCGCAAGACAAGCCTTGAAGCCAGACAATCTGGCAACCGAGCAAGCCAAGGATACACCGCTACCGCCACAGCCTCAGCCTGATACATTAATAGCAGAAGGAGAAGAAACACCTGCAGAGTCGGACTCTGACTCAGAATCCTCCGAGTCCGAATCTGATTCAGATACAGAACAGGAGAGGGGCAGGAAGCAGCCATGGAACCCAGTCTGTGTCATGGGTCTCCGTGTATACGCGCAAGATACGGAGGTTTCGGTCCGCCTTACTCAAGGAGACCAGGATCCGTGACTTCAAGGAAGGTCCATCGATGATATTCCTAACGATGAGGCGGTAGGAGGGCAATGAACTCTCAACTCTCTTAATAAGGGCAATCTACCACTCTAATCTATCGGTTGGACAGCCAACCTCAACTCTGAACAGAAACTTGGGACAAGGGGAAATGGCATACAGATTGTCTTCGTGGTCGGAGAATCTATAATATGATTGAAGACGGAAGCTCCAGTAACGTCACTCTAGGGCTTGCGTATTACTAGTTGGGGATAAAGAGATTGGATCAAACAATCGGAAGCAATCACCTAGTTTTCTAGTTTTCAGCGTCGGATGACCACAAAACCAATACATGATTAATCATAAAATACGCAGTATCATCTAACGTCAGAAATTTTGAGTTTTATCTAAGTTTACACAATGCAGCAACATGATATAAGCCGAGCTCCTCTGCTTGAATCCTAATCTCGGCGACCTCGATCAGATCTATGTCTTCCCATTTGTTCCTCTTCTTGTCTTACCACACATAATGCATTGCCTTCGTTCATCCTATCTTCGGAATTCTACTTTATTTATTTATTATTTATTTTGTCTTTGTTATGCCGTTTCATC